TCTCTCTCTCTCTCTCTCTCTCTCTCTCTATCTCTCTCTCTCTCTCTCTCTCTCTCTCTCTCTCTCCATGATGAACCCTGTGGCAGTCCTAAATCTAAATGTAAAATGGCAGTGGAGGAAATGCAGCTAGGAAGTTGCTTAGTCAGGGTCTGGGCCCTGATTTTATATTGAATATATAGCCATGAAAAGTAAGGTTCTCATAAAAAATAGGGGAAATTTATCACAATTCACCGAAAATTTGAACTATTTAACATTTTTTCTTGAGAATGTTAACATATGTATTAAGAAGGGCTCAGTACAAAAAATGGGCTTCCCTTGAGCCGGGAGCTACCCCAAGAAATGGCTACCCACAAACTGGGAGCTCTATACAAAAACCACCACGGGCGTGGGAGAGAGCAGCAAAACAGGGGGCAAGAGGCCAAGAAAAGGAAGGTGGACTGAGTCTCCAAAAAGTTTCTGTCACTAGAGTTAGTAGCACTAGCTTTTGCCACAGTGTCCGCTTCTGAGTTGCCTTCCCGCCAAATTTGGCTCTAAGAAATTTGAAGCCCCTGCATAGGTGGGAGATTTCATTGAAGATATGTGCCGGGACTAAGGGCAAGTTGCTGAGCTAGAGGCCCAGGAGATTACGTTGCTGGAATCGCCTTTGACAGTTAAGGCTGGGCTCCAAGAGGGGTTGAATAGTTTGAGGCCTTTAAGAAGAGCTAGAGCCTATGCAGTTCGGGAGTCTGAGTGGCCGATATGCTTAGAAAAGGAGGCCAGGACAGTGCCTACATGGTCCTTAAAGAGACCACCAATGCCAGCAGGTCCGGGATTGCCTAGGGAGCAACCCTCGAGGTTGAGTTTTACGAGGCCTAGTTCTGGCAGTTTCCACAGAGAGGTGTGAGACATGCGAGGATTGCTGAGCAAGGCCAGCCCATCCGAATGGAAGGCCGAAGGACAGGAGGAAATCCTTTGAAACCCTTGTGATTTGATGCCCAAAAGATGATCACAGTTTTGATCCTTTCAAATAAGGAAGCCAGAGAGGAACTCTCTCCTCGAAAAATCCTACTGTTTCGCTCACTCCAGACAGTTTGGAGGAGGCCGTCATGGGGGCCTTCCACAGAAGAATACCTGATTTACCCCAGGGAGAGGGATGGAGAGGAGAAAAATAGGGGGATGATGCGAGGGGTCAGCCATTGCCAGTGGAAAAGTTGGAGAAGAGCTCCCCACAGGTAATGGGCAATGGGGCGATGAATGAATAAATGAGCATTGGATTCCTCTGCTGCTAAGCACATTGCGAAATGGGGATTGGTGGGCCTCTTCTTTGGAGTTGGTCGACTGTGAGGGCTCTCTTTGAGAGAGCTATCCAGTTTAAAACTTGAATCTTGGGAGGAGCGAATGAAGACCAAGCCTTAGCCACAATAGAAGCTGGAGCATGGGGAAAGGTGGAGGGTTGAAGGAGTTTTTTGTAAAATGAGGAGACTGAAAAAGTCCTTGAAGGTTCCAGGCACGAAATAATATTGTCGTCACCTTGGATAAGGAGGAAGTTTGTGCGAAGAAGGGAATAGAGGTAGACGAATTCCTGGAGTTCTGAGTATGAGGTTGTTCTCCTGAAGATGGGACTCCAAACTCTGGCTGAGCCCTAGGTAGGGAAGAGGTCTGCTACAGTAGGCTTAGGAGGAAGAGGAAGGAAAAAGGTCTTTTGAGGGGGGTATGACCTATTCAAAGGTCGCACCAAAACCTAACTCAACTACCATCCCAGGGATACAGGTATTATCTTTAAAGAGGTTTAGGATACTAAGGAGGGATCTCCAAGCCAGAGGCTCTTTGGTTGCGTATTGCCACCACCATTTCCCCAGGAGAGCTGTATTAGTTTTCCTGAGACTATGGATGCGAAGTTCATGTTGGTGGCGAGGTAGGCAAATCTTGTCTCAGGAAATCAGGTGGAACTTATGTTTATTGTCCTCGCCTTCCCACAAGAAGTTCCTCACGAGTTGCTCGAGGTGGGAACTAACTGTCGCTGGCATTTGGAAGAGCGACATTTGATAGATTGGCACATTAGATAGGGTGGCCTTGATGAGGGTGACTCTTCCTTTTGAAGAGAGAAAGTGACCCTTTCCAAGCTTCAAATTTTTGGTCGAATTTATCAATAATATGTGCCCACAAGCTTTGTTTAGACTCTCCTATGCACAAGGGAAGACTGAGTTAGGTAGAAGGAAGGTTTTCCGATTGCCATCCCCATGGCCACCCTTGCCAATCCCCATGGCCACCCTAATCATCTCGGACTTATCCATATTCACTTTGAATCTTGTAGCCAATTCGAAAGACTTGAGGAAGAGGAGGGAGTTGACCTATTGGTTGGAGGCATTGCAGACGACAAGGGTGTCATCTGCGTGATGTCAAGTGGGTTATGATTGGTCCTTGGGGTCCACACTCTTGAAACCATGCGGCAGGCTTGATTGGAAAAAGCAGTTTTGGAGCGACCAAAGACTTTGGCCACTATTGCAAATAGGAAAGCGGAGAGAGGGTCGCCTTGTCTTAGGTCTCTTGATGAAGGGAGGGAGCCTTTGGGGTCCCATTAATTAGGACCGAGAAGTGAGGGTTGGAGATGCAACCTTGGATCTACTTCCTCGGCTGGTGACCAAAACCCATTCGGGCAAGGATTTCGTCGAGGATATCCTAATCAACGTGGTCATAGGCCTTCTCCCAATTGAGTTTGATGACCAGACCTGGGGTTTGGAGAGGTGCCTCGAGTGGATGCATTCATGGGTGATTAGGGCACTGTCTAGGATTTGACGGTCCTTAACAAAGGCACCTTGCTGGGGGGAGATGACTGGTCCTAGAACCTCTCTGAGGCAAGAAGCAAGGGCCTTAGAGAGGATTTTAAGAGACTGTTAATAAGATTGATGGGGCGGAAGTCTTTGAGCTCTTCAGCCCCTTCAACTTTCGGGACCAAGGCTATGAAGTTGGCATTGAGGGCCTTGTGGACAATGCCCCTATCAAAGAATTCTTCAAAGAAGGCCAGGTCATTGCGGAGGGAACTCCAAAAGGAATTGGAGAAGGCTAGGGGGAAACTGTCGGGGTCAGGGGCTCGATCTTGGCCTAAGTCATGGATTGCTTTGAGGATCTCATC